CGGCCGGCAGGGGAGGAGCCCCCAGTCACAAAATGGCGAAGGGAGGCGGCCCCATTGTGCCCAGGCGCCCGGCTCGGGGCGGGGATCCAGGCGGAGCGCCTCCTCGTACCCCAGCACGGCCCTCGGGCGCTCCCCGGCGCCCCCCTTGCGGCCCGCAGCGCCTTGCGCCCCCGGCCCCGGCCGACGCTCGGGGCCCCGAAAGCCGGGAACAAAATGGCGAGAGCTAATATGGCCGTTCGGAGTGATTGACGCCTGAGTAACACTCCTCTCTCTGGGTTTTGTGTGTTTCTCTCGGCAGACCGAGTGTGTCAGCAGCCAGGGCTTTCTCTCTGGGTACCCTTCCAAAACGCAGCCACCGCCGTCACCAATCTCTACAAAGGTAAGGACACGGCTGTAGCGCCGGGCCCGGGAGGGACACCCCTCGTCTGCGGCGACCCAGCCGGGAACCCCGCAATACCTCACTGCTCCAGCCTGCACATGTGGCCCTGTTTGGGGACGAGTTGTGTGGTGGTCACTACGGAGGGGCCGGGGATGCTGCTGACTGTCCAGCTGGGCACAGAGCCGGCAGCCCTCCCTCAACAGACTCCGCCCACCCAGTGTCACCCCACCCCCACCCCCTCCAGCGCCCGTGGATACCCCTGGCCATAGGGCTGGAGACGTGTGCTTTAGGGTGGAGGGCACCTCTTCCGTGCGTGCACAGACGTCCTGACTTTAGGCATTTGGAAGTGGGACAGCTGATTGGTACGCAGTGCTTGGAGAACTACGTAAGGGGAAAAGGCTGTGCGTGGTCACCCTTTGCTGTTTTCTGCATCTCAGAGTATTGTAAGGTGGGGGCAGGAAACCTGTCATCTGCATTTGAGTTGGTAGCTTCAGGAGCGTTATAATCGGGATTTTTCTGGACTCAAACACTCCCCCCACCCCAAGTAGCAAGGGGTTTAGAATTAGACATTTGTGGGGTGATTTTCTTTTTCGTTGCTTTAATTCCCCTTTGGCAAGGTTTCTGTGGAAAAAGGTTTTGCATTAAACTGTTTAATCTGAATAAAAATGTAACTAAGTCCAATGCTTTCAAACTTTTCAAAGCTGCTAATACCTGAAGAGATTTTGTGCACTTCACAACAGCAAAATAATGGGTGAAAAGGGTTACTAGAAGAGCTGGATCCTCAGATTTGTTTTTTGGGAAAAAAAAAAGTGCAAATGTGGCAGTATTCTGTAGGAAGAATATCACTTACTAGTAGGCTTCTTGAGTAGGCTTTGCAGGTTTGGGGAGAAGAATTTGAGGATCATAAACTGAAACTGGTGTATGCTAGTTTAATTTTGGAGAATGAGGAACTAATAGTCCACGCGTTGCTGAGAAAAGGGAAGCAATTAATGGTACCCCAGTGGTGGACTTTGATTTTAAGCCCTGGTTGCTTAAAGTTTGGCTCTTATAAGTAAACTGCTTTAACATTCATCAGTCCTGGAGGCTCTTGAGTATTCTCTTAGGAATTGCTCTTGGTTTCTACCAGACAAGGACTTTGAAGTTACAACTGGGACTTTGAGTTTTTAGAACTCTTCAGTTTCGTGATGTCACAAGGCAGTGACAGACAATCCCCCTTTGTCTCCATTTCCCACAGTGCCATATAAAGAGAACCCCAGGTATGTAGCCTGTTGCGAGGGCCGGTAGTGCAGTGAGCACTCTGGTATTGTTGAGTAGGACTCCAGTTCCATCGGGGGCAGGGGGCAGCATGTATTTTCGGTGCCCTCCAAGTGCCCTGCTCTTTGCTGCAGGGCTTTTTGTTGTGAAAAGTCAGAACACACCTGGTGCCTATAGGGAGGAAGCTGGCCCTTGTTTCTAGAACCATCTCATCCTTTTAAAAAGAAGATTGGCTCAGAAGTCTGGACACTATCCCCATATGTGTTTTATCTTAAGAGATTCAGAAAACTTTTAATGACAATGAAATTTCGAACAAAGCAGCAGCTGTGGTTCTGGGATTCTTGCAAATGCTACAGCATTTGTCTAAACTCAGCTTTGTTTTCCTGTCAAAGGAAGCACGTCCTCTCTACTGGCTGTTATTGGTAGGTGTAGGTTTTGGAATTTAGTAGTACAGTAATATCTTATCTTTGGGTACTGAAGAGTGGATCAAGTTCTATGGGTTTCCTTTTCTCCGGGGTGTGGCCCTACAGCTGTAGGCTGAATTAACTAGAAACAATAAAACCCATCAGGTCACCTCACAGGTGCGTGCAGCATTAAATAGAGGTTAATTGTAAACTTATGTTTGATTGATCACGGAAGCAAAACCCGTTGCCTTAGAATCCATTCTGACTCATAGCAAACTGCTGCCTCACAGGGTTTCCAAAGCTGTCATCTTAAACAGGAGCCAACCACCTCCCCTTTCTCTCTTGGAGCTCAGGGTGGGTTCAGACTGCCACCAGGGCGCCCTAGAATGATGGTTCTGTATAAATGCTTAATGTAATGTTGAGGAATATTTGGGAGTTCCCTTTAAGTCAGTTAGAGTTGCCTTTTTGTTGACTTGGGCACTTACCTGGCAGCTTTTGCTGTCTGCGGAATGCCTGTGCTTAAACTAAGCAACACTTGCTCAAATGTAGGATCCTACCGGAGGGAGTGCCTTTAGCTTTGGGTGGCCTGGTCTGTGCATTTGGTTTGAGTAGAATGTGGCTGGAAGGATCTGGAACCATTGCTGCTTCAGTGGGGACACACATTTCCAGGGTCAGCGTGCAGGTTAGGGGTCAGAAAGGGGGAGAAAACCCCTGATGATGATTCTTATTTCTGTGTGGATCTGATAAATCCAAAGAGGGTGATGTTGGTTCAGTATTCAGTGGCTGTGGTCCGGCCTAGTTCCCTGTTCTACTGCAGTTAAAGGAGGGAATGAAAGTGACCCAGGTGGAGTTATTGCTGGCCTGGGGAATCACTTACCCCTCCTGCAGTCTGTTGGCCACCTTTTTACTCCTTATCTTGTTCTAAGTTCCTTCACTGCTTGGGGCTGCTTGCTTTGTCAAGAGGTTGAGGAACTGGCCTTTTGGGTAAGGCTCCCCTCCTGGATAGCTCAAGTGGGGGGTAGGGGCTGCAGCCTTAGCTTTTCATAGCCCCCTAGCCACCCCTGACACTTTGTAATAGTTCTTTCTCTGTTTGAAGAATTCTTTATCTCGGAGACTAAAGCTAAGCTCTGTTTCTTTGCCTCCACATTTTACAATGAAAGGCCTCTGAGGCTGTAGGTGCAGACTGAGTTCAGCTACACAGGCTGGGAGTTTCTCTTGATAGTGTTAAAGTTCAAGGGGTTTCTGGTTGCCTTTGCCCCAAGGCGTCTGTAATCTGGCAGTGCTGGTGGGGCCTAGTGTTCTGCTGGCCCTCAGTCCTGGGGTCTGCTGCCAGGTGATCCGAGTGTGCATCTTGGCCTTGGTACTTAAAGCTGTAGTTCCCAAGCCAGGTCTCTCACCTTGCTGCTCCCTTGGCTTTCTCCAGGGAGGATAAGCACCCACAAATTCCAGTACAAACTCTTAGTTTCGCTTTTTGGTGCACAGGGAGGTTGTGCTGGGGTCAAGTGCTAACTGTTGCTGGTGTTTTAGGGACCAGAGATATGGGCCACAGTGAGGCATGGAAGGAATTCTAGTTTGTATGCTGGTCTCAGTTTGTGTTTTTGGTGTTGGAGTAAGCTCTGTGGTTACTTTCCTCCTTCCTTGTCTTCTTTCCTTGAAAGGTTAGATAAATGTAATCAGTGTTGCCAGGTGAGAAAATTAGTGTTTTGCCTGTGAGACACCTGACACCAGTGTTCTCTATCCAGTATGTTGTCCTACTTAAGTGGCCATTTTGGGTCTGTGTGTAAACTGAAAGTCACCTGAACAGACTGAGATGTGTGGGCCATTTGGCAGGGTTGATACATAAGTGTTTAGGGAAAGTCAATCCTACCTGGGAACGAGATAGAGAATACTGTAATCTCAGCTTCTTATAACTTTCCAGAGCTTCTCTGTAACTCTGCCCGGAGAAACTTTTACTCACTTTTGAACCTTTGTTCAAAAAGGTCTTCAAATGGATTAGCCGTAGAAGCCCTAAATCTTCAGTTTTATCCCTTAGTACATTGCCAGGAACAGTAGCTTGAAATCATTCCAGTATGTAGCTTCACTCTTAAATTTTTCTAGGAGGCAGTCGTTTTTTTAGGTGTGGATCACTTTGCTACAAAAGGATGTTTTGGCTGCACACACTGTAAACACAAGCCAGGTTGGCTTCAGTGGTGTGATGGATGGATGTGCATTGGCTGCTAGGAGCACGGCAGGTTGGGGTGAATGACAGAATTCAGTGACTTGGGTTCCCAGGTCTTGCAGCTCTCCACTCCCCTCTTGGTCGTCTCCAGGCAGAACAGAATGGCTTTCAGCTCAGCTCTGAGGGGCAGTCACTGTTTAGAAGTTTTGGCTTCTTAGAGATTTTAGCTAAATTTGGACCACATGTGCTGGACCCCAGTATGTAGCTGGGATCTGTGGTTATGGCATAAGTTTAAGCAGGGTCGCTGAGTCTAAACTAAGCCACAACTCCCATTCCTTGAGGAATGGGAGATTCCTCAGGGAGCATGTGGTTTGGCTGTCTGGAAAAAAAAACAAAACAAAAAAAACAACAAAAAACTTGGGAGGAGCTTTAGGAAGAGGGTGGTCAAGGATTAGATTTATTCATCCCTGTTTCTGGGTCTTCATTTAGTGGACTGTTAAGTGTCGTTCAGTTGGTTCCAATGTATTGTTAAGTTCCACTGAGTTGGTTCTGACTCATAGTAACTCTGTATAGGATTTCTGAGGAGCAGCTGCTGGGTTTGAACTGCTGACTTTGTGGTTTGCAGTCCATTGCTGATCCTATAGCGCCATACCAGGACTCTAGGTAAATAAAGAAGTAGGTAGAAATCCATGTTTATTTTCCATACTACTCATTTCTTAAAACAAATGACAAATGGGCCAGGGATCAGAGCTTTGTTTCTAATGAAACCTGAAGAAAATGAGATTTTTTTTTTTTTCCCCAGTGTCAGACTGGCTGGTGGAAATTGATGTCTTCAGTGACAGTCTTGTGTAGGCGTAAGTTGACTAGTTGGTGATGGAACAGTGTGCTCTTGGTGGTGGTGATTATGTGCCATGGAGTTGATTCCGACTTACAGTGACCCTGCGTAGGGTTTTCTGAGTCTGTTAAGTCTCATCTTTCTCCCAAGAAACCTCATCTTTCTCCCAAGGAACGGCCCCACTCATAACCAGTACAATTCCAGAGCCCCTTTAATGCACTCTTAGGGAATGTAGATCCTGTAAGGAGAATGGAGATGGCATCTCTAGTTAAGGCTTAAGGACTAGACATGGTGTAAGGCCCTTTGAGCTTCACTTCCTTGTTTACGAAATGAGTATCCTACTCAGGCTGTGTCAGAAAGAGGTTTGTATTGGAGGAAAAATGCAATAGTAGTATCCAGTCAGTTTTGATTGTGTATGTTAGTCTTCAACCCAGAATTCGGTATTACCCTCCCTCAGTGGTGGGAGAAATCACAAAAGCAGCATGCTTGCTGGATAAATATTTAGCCTTCTGAAACCTCTCATTCCGTTTTAGCTACATCTATAAAAACTGTAAAAAAGTAGGAGCCAGGAGATCTGTGACTGTTGTATGAATGTGGGTTTTGAATAAGGAGGAAATGAATATACTCGTGATTAAAGGTTGGATTGACATTTTGATGCCCTTGGGGTTTGCCTAACCTTCAGGCTTCTGGCCTTTGTCCACAGTGGCTCTGCCTTCAGTAAGATAGTGTTCTATGGAAGACTGACCCATGATTTATGTACTGTTTTTCTCTGCCACAGGGGTTCAGATATGTTGAAAATGGTTTCTGACCGAGAGCCTTTAGGATATCACTTATTAAGGGGATTATTATTATCCTGGTAGTGGTGTGTGCTGTGGACCCTGAGTAGGGTTCCGGAGGACCATCTGCAGCTGATGGGTTTGAACTGCCATCTATGCAGTTAGAAGTCCTAGTACTTGTCCTACAGTGTGCTATACAGGGACCACCACAGGTTACTATCTTGGTGGACTCTATCCTGAGATTTCGTGCAGTAAAATGTAATCTAAGAGTCTCCAATAAGCATGCAAGTCATTGCTCCATCAAGGTGTGATAGGATTTTATTTTCAACCAAGTGACTAAAGTTTGAAAACGGACAGACTGGGTTTTAAATGGCCTTAGCGTCGACATGAGCCTTTCTCTGTAGGGAAATACCTGAGGTGGTTGCATTAACTTGGGTGGTCCAGTCATTGGACTGGACTGTTCAGAATCAGAATTCATGGTGCTACGGAACCAAAACTTTGCTCTGGGGTTCCTTCTGTCCTCCTGTGAGTGTCCATTGTTTACAACATGCCTGCTTTTGTACGTGTGGTAGTATTAGGTGTATCTGATGTTAAGTTTGTCAGGTTTTTGAGGTAAAATGATCTGCTGGATAAAGGGTTAAACGCTAATTACATGATGGCTTGCCATTTAAACCAAGTCACTAGTGAATATTGAGTTTTCCATTAATTGTTCAAATTAGATTAAGCATCAGCCTACTCTGCCTTGAAGTCCACACTTTAAAAAAAAATGCTACCAAGCTCTTGTCACTGTTTGACAGCCCACTAACTCACTGCCATCTAATCAATTCTAACTTACAGGAACTACTCCAAGAGTGTCCAGCTTTATGGGAGTAGACCACCTTATCTGTCTCCCACAGTAGCTGGTGGGTTGAAACCACTGGTCATGTGGTTAGCAGCCCAGCGCTTAACCTGTGCCACCAGGTCTTCTTCATATTGGACAGGATTATCAAATTTTAAGGCTACCTCAAGGGGCTATCAGCTGGTTTTTGACTCACAGCGTCCCTGTATAGTTCCTGAGGAGTGGCAGGTGGATTTGATTTGCTGGCCTTATGGTTATCAGTCCAGTGCTTATCCTCCAGCGCCACACCAGGACTCCCAGTCCTGCCTGCTTCATCTGACTGTACTACCCTAGCCTGCCTCCGACTGTTTTTTTTTTTTTGTCCAAGTCTTGGTGTCTCTTCATGTCACTCCAGCTCTTTGAGAACTATTTCAGGTCTTAGTACAGCTTTATGTACTCAGGTCTTAGTACAGCTTTACGTACAAGGTCAGCTCCTAGTTTATTCACACTCTTAAGAGGGGCTTTGTAGAGCTGTGGGTTAATGCTCTGGACTGCAAGTTCAGTATGAAACGCAAGGCTGGCGGTTGAAACTCAACAGCTGCTCCTTGGAAACTCTATACAGGGTCGTTATGGGTCGGAACCTACTTGACGGGCACTTCACAACAAGAGGTACTTTGGAGGTCTGTGGTATGGTGATTAACTGTGTGACTGCTAACCAGGTGGTCAGTTTGAACCCACCAGCTGCTCCACGGGAGAAACTGTGTGACTATCTTTGTAAAGATTTACAGCCTTGGAAGGCTGTCCGTGGAAACCCTATAGGTTTCCTATAGGGTTGCTCTGAGTCAGAATTGACTTGGCAGTAATGGGATTAAGATTGACTAAGAGATGGGAGTCCTGGTGTGGCGTTGTGGGTTAATATGCTGGGCTTCAGAGTCGCTTTGAGCTGCAAGGTTGGTGGTTCAAGCTCACCAGCGGCTCCTCGGAAACCCTATACGGGGTCACTATAGGTCAGACCCAGCTCTGAGGGTACTCAACAACAAGAGATGGGAGGGTGCTTTTCTCTTAATTCCATTATCTTCATTTTTCCATGACCCCTTTGAAAAACTCCCTTGTATTGACCTCTAAAAAGGTGCTCTTGCTGTGTTTATAATGAAATGAGGAATTGGAAGATGTTGATTCAGGTTGGGACTTGGTCTGTATTATAATTGTGAGATACTTATTCTCCTGAGCTGCCATTATGTGTCTGCAGAAAGAGCAGAATCCACTCGGCAACATTGTGTATATGGAGTCTTCCATTCTTCCATTGTTTCTTTCTAATCTCTGGAGATTAGATTGGATTGCTTTTGGGCTCAGAAGACCTCGTAGTACAATTGTGCTCTGCCAGCCCTCTTACCAACTGTTATAAAAATGCAGATTCATTCAGCTTGGGCTTCTGTATGAAGTCTTGATTTCCTTCTGGGACAGCGCTTCATTTCAAGCAGATAGGAATTAAAAAATCTAGCATGGATGCTAGGACAAGTTATAGCAGAGAGGTTCTCTATGTTCAAGGATTGTTGGTTTACATAAGGTCTCAGAGATGAAGGCCAGGTTTGCTGGGACTGGTTATGAGTTGAGGACTGCCCAGGACAATATTCTCTGGGAAGCGAATAGCAGTTTCTCCATTTCCACCGTGCTTGTGGGGGTTTAGTAACCAGTCACATTCATTTCCTCATGGGATCTGTCAAAGGTTTGCTGCTGCCTTATTTGTGCTCCCGCTTGCCGGTAGTGGGATTGGCATGCAGCTCCCCACCGCTCCAGGGGAGTGCTGTCTGCGGGGTGGGGTGTACACATCTTGGGGATAATCTGCTGGTGCTCCTACTAGCTGCTGTTGCCCTGAAGATTTGATTTTTCTGAAGGAGGAGCGCAATCTGGCATAGTGGTCAAGAGGCACGGGCTTAGAAGTAAAATGCCAGCTCTATATTTTGTGAGTCGAGGGCAGTTTCCTCCTTGCCAAGTGCTTATCTCAGAGTAGACAGCTCGTGTGACACTTAAACCCAGAAAACCAAATCTGATTCTAACTCAGTGGCGACCCTATAGCACAAGGTAGAACTGTCCCATAGGGTTTCTGAAGCTGTAAATCTTTATGGAAGCATAGCTGTTGGGCTCCCACCACCAACCTTTGGGTTAGTAGCTGAGCTGAGCACAGTGACCTCAGGGTGCCTAAATACTTGACAAGTTAGCCGACAGGGAATGTTGTTGTTAGTGCCGGCAAGTGTGTTCTGACCCAATCCTTAATAGGTTTCCTAGGAGCAGGTGGTGAGCTTGAACTGCCAACCTTGCAGTTCAGACAGCTTTGCAGTCTGGTGCATTAACCCATTGTGCCACACCAGGTTTTCACGATGGAGTAGTTTGGCTAGAGCTCAGCAGTTGCTTCTCTTTTGGAAGAACCGGGCAGAAGCTCTAAGGCTGTGTGATGGGTAACCTCTGAGCACAGAGCAATAGAGTACACGCGGAACAGTGTGCCTTGCCAAGGCCAGCGCATTTCCAATGATTGCTGAGAGAAGAATGCCTTTTGATGCGCAATCATTCTCTTTGAAGAGTTTTTGTTAATTGATTTTCTGCAGAAGTGATTACAGTGTGGCGCTACTGATCATCAAGCATGCTCTGTTTTTCTTTTTGCAGAAAGCGTGGATACCCATCAGCGAAGCTTTGATATTGGCATTCAGATTGGCTATCAGCGACGCAATAAGGATGTGTTGGCGTGGGTGAAAAAACGCAGAAGAACTATACGCAGAGAAGATTTGATCAGCTTCCTGTGCGGGAAAGTTCCTCCACCACGGAACTCTAGAGCTCCCCCAAGACTGACTGTAGTGTCCCCTAACCGAGCTACTCCAACGGAAACTAGCTCATCTGTAGAGACTGATTTGCAACCTTTCCGGGAAGCCATAGCTCTGCATGGTAAAGCCGTTTAAACATATTTCTTTGGAACATGGTTAAGAGTGTGCCTGTGGACCCATTATCACATTTAGGGTTAGGTCCAGACATGGCTGTCTCATTTTTTTGTCAATTAGAGTAAACACTCACATTAGAAATGTTTAAATAGACTTAAGAACTTATTAGTGGGCACTTTTTGGATTGTCTTATTAGCCCACCTTAAATAGTTCTGTTTTCAGAAAGTTAGTTTGAGCCTCTTGGTGGTAAAATGAGCCTTATTAGAATATATTGCTTTGTATTTCTATAATTTACAATATATTATATAAGGATTCTTAGTCTTTGCTGAGTTATCAAAGAAGTTCTTGGTGTCATGAGACTTCTATGATGTTTTCCAGTTGCTAAGAGAGCCAAGGCAGGCAGGTGACTGTTGCCACTGTCACCTCGGTTATCTAGGGTGCACACTGAGACCCAAGTAAGAGAGTGGATAGATGTCAGAATCAGCAACTTTCTCGATACCTAGCGTTCCATAGGTTCTTGTAGCTTGGCTAATCTGGACTGTCAGAGGTGCAGCTGGTAGACAGATCATGCCTGACCTATAGAGGGCATCTAGGCTAAAGGGGGAGAGTCCGGTTCTGCTGTAGCCACAGAGCAATGGCAGAATCAGCCCTGAGTAGAAGTCACTCCCTGAGTTAGGTTAGGAGTCCTGGGCAGGGCTTGTAGGGCTCCACGGTTTAGATCTGAACACAGAATAGCCTGGTAATACAACTAACGGGGTTATAACTAGCTTTGGCAGACTTGCTTTTTTAGAACCTAAATCAGACATAGGACTGGATTAAAGAAAAGTGGGGAGTTGACAGTATTCCCCCAATTTGAGTTAATTTATGACAAGTTAAAAAAAAAAAAAACGTATCGCAGGTAAATCTGTACCATATGGATGCAGTTGCTGATACAGTGAAATAATCACACCATCAGAACACTTGAAACTCATGCAGAAGGAGTTCATCTGTCCTGTGTGATTGGATTACAGAGTTTCACAATCTGTTTTCCCTGGCTTTGGGGAAAGTGTACATAGTTTGTCAGGTTAATTTTAGTGCACGGTAGTGTTCAATGCAGTTACCCTGAGTTTCTTCATCAGATGGAATTAGGATTCATTCCATACTTTTAAAGGATCTGTGTCTGTATTGTTGTAGTCTACTTTAGGAGATAAGTTTTGAGAAATGTAAGTCATGTTTGTTAGAAAATCTTTATGGAGTGTAGTGTACATAGTAAAAAGGCAGCCCCCTCATCCTCCAAACCAAACACTTATCTGACTGGCCAGCCCTTCATTACATTTTCTGAATCTGTTCAACCTCTGTTTTTAATTTCCCAAACTTTTGAAGTTTTAGTGATGGTGTAGTTTTTTGGGGACGGCACTACTAATTCTGATTTAGATTTGAATTGTGAAGGTTTTAAAAGGTTTAAGTAGACAATTTAAGAGACGTAACTTTTTTTTATAAGGTAGGGGTAATCCCAGAGTAGGTTAGGTACTTGATGTACTGTTAACTAGGGTTCGAACAGCAGATTGTTGCCATTAGGGCGGTGTGTGCTGAAGTGATCAGAACCTTCAGAAAATAGTGTGTTTTGTAGAGAACAACTTTGAATTGGAGAAAAGAATAGTCTGATTTGAGTTTTTAAAGAAAGTAATTCGAATGACTTCTAGCAGTAGTCATTGTTAATAAAACAGTAATGCAAATTCATGACTATGTAACCAAGTATTAAATCTTCAAGATCTTTTTCTTGTCTGTAAATTGAAGTAGAAACTGTTAAAGTACTTTTTTAAACACGTACTGGAAACCACCTCAATTAGGGTAAATATGCCAGAATTCATGTTTTTTTTTTTTGCATACCATTTGCTTCAGGAATTCTGAAGTATGAGTGAAACTGAGTGGGTATTCCCAGAGTTCTAGGGGAGAGTCTGAATGAATTGAAATGTGTGGAGTGCGAGGGGGAATGTAGGCTGACTTGACAGCAGATGTAAGTGGAGAGGGTCCCGTAAGACAGAGGACACTTTTCAGACCTTGGTTTTTCCTTTAATGGGCTACCAAACACCCAGTTCCATCAAATGAAAATGCAAAAAACTATTTGAAGAAAAACTGCACAGAAGACCAAGAGCTATTTCAAAGCATTTCATGTAATAACGAGGGTGACTGCTTTGGAGCAGCAGTTTACTAGGAGGGACTTAAGTAAACTGTCAATCAGAACCACTCAGTTAATGGTTATCAAACAGTTTCATTCAAAGGCACATCAGTGAATAGCTATAGAGGCTTAAAGAATAATCCAGTTAGGCTCCTTGTCTCATTTCCTTCGTATATTAGGTGATGAAGAACACAATAAATTAGATACATAGCACGTGATAAATTAATCTGTTGAAAATGTTATCCTTGTGATTAATAACCTGAGTCAAAGTCCACTGACAGTAACTGGCACTAGTTTGTACCTAAACAGTTCTCGCAGACAGTTTTGTTGTCTACTCGGATTCCTCCTACTCATCTTTTCTCTTCTAGAACTTTCCTCTTTTTTGCCTCCTACTTTAACTTCAGCCTCAGTGATTTCCTCAGCTTCTCTTACTGATGGCAGTAAGTGACATCTGCCTGGATTGGAGCCCTGCCACCTGCTTCTGCATGTTTTCTTAGGGCTCTAACTACGTCTGTCAGTTGTCTTCAGGTGGGCAGCTCTGTTTCACTGAGTGGTCCATCCACTCATGGAGTGGTCCAACCTGGACTCCAGAACAGACACCTTTCTTGGCTTATTTAGCACTCAGCACTTGTGTGTGTGGTGCATCTCTGAGAAGATGTCAGTGAGTAAGGAGTACTCTGTTCTCTTGAGGATGATTGATTCTAATGCAAGAAGAGCATGGGGTGTGTGTAATCTTCTGGGGCAGGAAGGGACATTTTACAGTGCCAGAAGATTTCCTGGAAGAGGTGAGCTTGTGAATTGGGACAACTTCCTTCTCTTGCTTCCCAGTTCTGAGGTGGCCAGTCTTTCAGTCCACATTTCAAGGACCACTGGAGGAATCTGAGTGTGTCACTTGGCTGGTCTACAAGGAGAAGTGAGAAGTCAGCATGGCCTTGCCAAGCCCGTATGTATGGTCTGGTTCAGAGTTCTAGTTGTGATGTTTAATCCTTCTCCCTCTGACCACCTGGGAAGACTGCACAGACACCATATCTCTGAGGACACTTGTCCTCCACTTGCCCTCTCTAGGCCTTTGCTTCTGGGCACCTACGTTCCCACTGGGGGCTGTTTGCATGGCTGTCCCCTCCAATAGGCTGGGGCTGTACTAGGGCAGGTTGTTCCATGTCTCCTCTTGCTGCCTTTTCTAGAATTTACAGAGGAGTCTGGGCAGTGGGGGACAGGTGAGGATTAATTTCTAAAGCACATCTGCAGATATGGGCAGTCAGGATAGGATTAGGATGTACCCCACGTTCCTTAGATCGCTGGGAGGCCTGAGGAGCACTACCAAGTAGGTATAGCATCTCTCCTAGATTGCATTGTGTCGGCACCGTGCTGCTCTAAGGCAAGTGCTCACTGCTGGTTTATTGGTTTAAGTGATCTTTCTGGTTCCAACATGCATACTTAGCCCCCTCTGCCTCAGTATCAAGGGTTTCTGGTTGAGGGAAAGTCTCTATTGGCTTGTTTTTCTTCTCTAAAGGCTGTGGATTCTGTGTGTCTTTCTGTTCCCTAAGCAAATCTGGATGAGTGGTATGTCTTGATAGATTCCTGGTATACTGGTAGTAGGAAGACTACTTTAGAATGGGAGAGCTGGGCCACATGCTTGGCCTCGCAAATCAGTTTCCTTTGTGCAAAACCGTACACTTGGTTAGAAGGTGATATATGAAGACGCAAACCTAAGATCTCTCGTCTTGTCATGACGTTGGGAATGTTGTTTACCATGAGAAAAGTAGGATTTTGGGTTAGTTAGGGGAGCTCTGGTAGTGTAGTGGTTGTGCACCGCAAGGTCAGCAGTTCGAAACTACCAGCTGTTCCGTGGGAGAAAGATGAGGCGTTCTGCTCCTGTAAAGATATACAGCCTCAGAAACCCTGTACAGGGTCGCTATGAGTGGGTTCCAACTCCACGGCACATAACCACCACCAGGGGAGCTACTAGAGGTCAGATATAGACCTGGTGGAGCCCAAGATCCTGAGGTCCAGTGACCAGGAGGACACTGCTCCCTCTCCTTCCTTTTTCTCCTCTGTGGGGAGCCTTTTGAATTGCAGATACTGCTCTGGAGGGAGGGGTATTTGAGGCCTGAATGAATAAGTACCTTGTATTACTTGCTAAGATTTTGAGCTGGTTGCTTATAGACAACAAACCTGTGAAGTGTTGGCTCTGTTCTTTCTGCGGATTGGAGACAGATCTGAGAAGGCTGGTGGCTTGCTCCAACTCTTGCTTGAAATCTGTTCTCATTCTGGGCTGTTTGTCAAGAAAAAGGGGTAGGGTTAGGAGGCCAAGGACCCAGAGAGTACTAGGAGGATAGCAACCAAGATGGGAGAGGAAACAAGCTGCTAGCTAAATCTGACTTCACTCCTTGCTAACTTTAGTTAAAGCTCTCTCACTCTTTCAATTCAAATTATTACCTCCTGGGTGTCTTGGTCCAGGGGCCAGATTGTCCCATCAAAATTAGTGACTATTAAAGTTCCAAAGGAATTGTGATGAAATTTTTGGGTAATTTTAGAAATCTCTACAGTAGTGTCTTTACTTATCTGTGGTGAACATGTTGCTAGGACCCCCAGTGGATGTCCGAAACCTCAGATACTATCATACTCTGTACATCCATGTGTACATACTTTCTAAACTAGCCATAGTGAGGTGAACAGTAACTACTAATAAATAATTAGAACAATATGCTGCAGTAAAAGTTCGGTGAGATGATGTAGGCATTGTGAAGGCAGCATTAGGCTGCTATTTTGGTATTTAACCAGAGGTCACTGGATTAAAGTGGGGGAAATCACTGTAGAGCACAACATTGGCCCGTTTTTCAGATGTA